TTTATAACTGGTTATTTTTCAACCAAGTAGAGAACATGTACAGGGTTAGTAGTTCTTTATTTCAGTGACAGATACTGCCATAAAACCTTTCGATATATGGAATCGAATACCGTCTTAAGGTAAAGAAATATGACTGTGATGCATACACATATGAACTTTATTACCTTCAAAGAAACACTTCTACCAAAATATAGATAAATCAACATAATGCTGTTAACAATGGCTACCATTATGAAAAATGTAGAAAATAAAATGTTACAGACAATAATAATAATCGGAGACCAATAATTAAATAAATAAACCTATTTAAGAAGGCAATGTTATGTCTCCGCTAAAAGTACATAACAGCTTATTAGTTAGAACAATATAACATCTATTCAATTATACCAGCAATGAATTCATTTTGACAGATGAATAACTAGATTCAACATGTGATCAAATTTATTAAATCGCTTTATAAAAGTATTTACATCACCTTAATAGATAATAATTTTTGCTGAAAAAAACAACAACACACAAATGCAGTTAAAACTAATGGGCTGGAAAAAAATAATATCAATATTGATTCAAACCTATTTACAGTGCTATATGCAAGACACTATAGTTTATCTAGGTGTGGTCCAAACTACCAATAGGGAAACTATAAATTACGTGTCGACTACCAGAATGATGAATATCATGTTAGTTTAAATTAAGTGACAAAACGTTTCTCTTTGTTCTCACGATTAATGTATTTTGATGAGAAAGTTTGCAATGGTTTCATCTTAAGGATTAGTTAGAAAGTAACAAGGCATTATATATTTGTAATAACCAATTCTATGTAATCTAATTAAATTAATCAGTCACTAGGAGGAACATTTCTAATTGGTGGTTGACGATTTTTACTTTCACGATTTTCATGAATACGACGATCTTGAGCGCTGTCGAGTTAGAGCTAATGGCGAACTGTCATCTGATTTTGCAATCTCATGTGGTGTCCGACAAGGCTGTCCACTTTCTCAATTTTTGTTCAATTTCACTATAGATTTAATGCTGGGAATAGCGTTCTCATCGTCTGAATTTTCGAGAACTGATCTTCTATCAGGTTCCACCTATCGACTTAGAATACGCATAATCATTAGGAGTAGAAGATACTTGTAAGCTACTAGTTTTTAACCATAAATATCTTATAAATATTGCTGGCATCTGCTGGGCTCACCGGGTAAGTAATAGTGAGGTTAGACTCAGGGTATTAGGGAGTGATGGTAAATCATCGACTGAGATGGTTGGGCCACGTGTTGAGTATGCCTGAACACCAATTACCACGACGTGCAGTGCTAACCGGTGTTGGAGATGGTTGGAAGAAAGTTGGGAGCGGCCGAACCAAAACGAGGCACCAGTGCTTGAAGTCACTAACTTCTGGTATGAGCCATGTTGGTAGATGCAGACTACCTGATTGGGGTCCGCGTGCTTAACGTAACCAAATGTTGAAGACTCTTGGTGACATGGCTCAGAATCGATCACAATGGAGGTGTATACATTTTTTGTCCGCCCTTAAACCGTAAGAATAAAATTGTTTTATATCTTTCCTTCTACAAACTAATTCTTCCTCTCTGTATCATATCCTTACATGCAATCTTTTTTGTATATTACTATCATTGAAGTGACTACTTCTATGAATTTAGTGTTTATCTTGTTGTGCTAATGAAGTGTGTCAAATTAGACCGATGCAAATATGTCAATCATTCAATATATTACCCAATGCACTGTATGAAAACGTTTGTAAATATCATCAATATTAAAAGGAAGGACTAACTCAGTGAAGTTTGATCTCTAGGACTTATGGAAATTCTCTTCCTTAAATCTTCTAATGTCGGATATTCGTTTATTCAATATTCTAGTTCTTCTATATTACGTAATTTCGCATTTTTTGGTGCATAAACTAATTTTAGTGGTAAAAGATTTCTTTGATATTTAACATAATGCACTCACTGTTAATTTTGACGATACACTTGACATAGTTATTATTTAGGTGACTAATGGTCAAATTATAACTATTGGTTTTGATATATATAACTAGATTCTAATTCAGATTATTGTTATTTTCTTAAATATCTTATCGTTTTTACTTTCTAGATAGAAATTTTCTAATACATAACACAGTTTCACTTTTATTAAACTTAATATACATAATTATAAAGGATGTGTTTGACAAATGTGAATTTTTGAGTACTTGAGAGTTACCTTTACGGTATTCTAAAGTTCATTGGATTAGCAACTTCAGAGTTAAATACAATGTAGTTTAAGAATCTACTTTCAAGAACAGTGATTAGAATATTTTTAAGGGCTTCTATTTTCCCATAGATGATGTTAATGCCTGGAATTGATTTCTCAATATTGGTATAAGGCTTCGATATTGCTTTATGATAAAAGTGGTGAGCACGGTTCTGCACAGTAAGCTAGAAAGATTCAAATGGCTCGGCTGTTTAAATTGCACTTTACTGGTAATGCAGAGCAACTATAATTTAACTTTACTGTGGATATCTGGCATATTCTTAACTTAGTTTACTAAACAAATCAGGGGGTTTTATCATTGCGAATATCCATCTCCAAACTATTCACTGATTAATATAGGATTATTATTTGCAGAGATTTTGTGGTGATTTGTGTCGTTTTCATCACGCACTGATATCATTTGAGAAACCATTCCAAATGATATTATTATGTATATCCTTAAATAACATATATTTTTCATTGAATTCAAATGATTGTTAATATAATTGCAACTCACAAACATATATTGTTTGTCCATACACCAAAATAGTCCCACTAATTGAGATAATTTAGTCAGAAGACTTTACAAATTCTCTTATAGCTTTCTATCTCTGAATTTCAGGGACATAATTGGCATTGAATTCACTACCTTTCTTCAGCTTTTCAATTTCTGAATTCATTTTCTAACATCAGTGTCATTCGATGAGACTCCTTTAGTAAGTGTTACAATGACTAATGTAAACAGTATTAATGGGTAAGGTTATTAAAATGTATGAATGTCAACGAAAGTCCTTTACATCCCATTATCTAGGAACAGAGTGAATAAAATACAGAGTTCGATCCAACAAGAATACCAGGTATTTAAGAGATAGATAATTAATCGAAGTTCACAGTCCTGAATTCTTTTTTAAGTGATTGATTATGTAGCAAGGTGAGAAACCAACAAATGCAAAAAATGTGCAATTAAATGAACTATCTATTCGGATTAAAAAGATATTTACATGTGGGGACAATTGTCAGTTCGTGTTTTCGACGTTTGACCGGATTTTGGTGTTTAGTACATATTAAGTTTAATTGAAGGGCTGTTACTTCCTATTACTTTGAGATATATATTTCAGCGATCGTGTTGAGAGAATACAGGGACTATTATTTTTCTATTCTATGAATATACGTCCTTCATTAAAGGTGTATAAGCTGGCTTATCAGTTCATGACAAATGCTTCTTACGCAGCAATTAGTTTTTTTGTTAAGAATTTGGTTGATACAGTGTTACAACGCTCGGTTTCACTTCGTCTATGGGACGTTAATTTACCTAAGGCGAATATCTACACTAGATTCCCCCCCAGTGTCTATTCTACTGTACTTCAACACAACTCTGATCAAGAACACGTGATTAGCCTAACTAGAACGTAAATACGTTTCCACACCAAAACCTGACACAATCCAACAACAATGAGCAGTCAATAATAAGTAAGAATAATGATAGGGGAATTATATAACTCATCTAACACCTGTCAGACTATCTGCATGTCTGACTAAGCAGACAACCAATCACTATCATGCTCGCCCACACATCATGTAGATATTGTGATCTTTAATTCAAGACCTCAATCAACTTACCTGGTAAACTATTCAGTGATAAAAACAAAATCCTCCCTCTCCGAGTTTAGTCGTATTCATGTTCTTGTCGTAACCATTTGGATAATCTTATATCAACATCTTTGAGCAGCTATTTAATTTCTAGTGTTCTTGAACTGTTCAGTAATTCTGCTTCCATAATGTCTCTACTAGAGACCGTAACTCGCGTTAATGTTCCAAAAATGAATCTACACGTGGCTGCAAAATTGTACATTGTTTGGTCTATCCATCTGACTGCATATGTGTCCACTTATTTTCGGCTTGAAGTTTAATCAAAGATTGTCTTTTTAATTAATTCAAAACAATTTTACTTGTGAGGTTTAGTGGGTGTTTGATTTATTCATATGTCATTTTCATGTATTAATTTATAAAATCGACTTTGTATATTTATACTGTTCAATGGCTGAAAGTAATGGAAATTTGTGCAGTTTGATCGGTACTTTCTGTCGGTTAATTACTTACAGCAATGAAATGCAGGCGTCATTTTTTGATTTATTTTAGGTGTTTTTTAAGTTCCAGATCGTGTGATCGTTAAATTTACACAACAAATAATTCATAAAAAACCTTGATGACATGAAACTTCATTTATTTTGAGTTAGATATAAATATTTTTATTTGCGTTACTTTTTGAAAGCATGTGACTGTTTGCAGTGCATACGCAAATTTCACCAATAAATCACAGTGCTTTATAGTGCTAAAGTGAATACGGTCCTATCACCGAATATTTTTGGTATATCGGTAGATATAATTATTATTGTTCAGTTGCCAGACCATAAATATGTCACCGTAAAACTCACTACGTCCGAATAGTAAATGGTGGAGAACACTCAAGTATTCTAGACATTTTAGCTAGTGTAAGCCGAATTATTCGCTTGCAGACGTCTTCCCACACAAAACACAGGACAAAAATTGTACGACCTATACACTATAACTTGAGAAAAGTTTAGGAGAGCACGTTACATAAAAATAGTAGACCAACTACTCTAGACTAAAATCCTTAAATAGATGTTATCCTAGTTAATTGATGCAGTATCTTCGATACTGCATCAATAATCACGCTTAACAATCGGAATTACAGGGGATTTGTAAGAAACTAGTAAAACGAAATTAAATAGAACTTTGACATTCGGATGATACCAAATTTTTGCAACAAAAGTAATCACTATTGTTAATAAACTGTTAGCATCGTAATCACCAATCGTCATAAAAGATAGGATTCTAATAACAAACAAATTATTAAGTACATATATTAGTTCATTTCTAGTAGTCGATAAAGAAATTACTAAGTAAGCTAAGGAAGTAAATATTTAAGGAAAAACTGAAGAGAAGGAAAACAAAACAACAATAACAGAAAACTTGACTGTAAAAGCACATTAAGTAACAGTCTATCACTGCTATAATTATCCCAAGGAAATACAGAATCGTTAAAATCAGACAATAGAGGAGCTATAACTAAATATTATATGCAAAATGGTTCAAATTTAAGAATACTAAACAGTTCGTATACACTTATTTCATTTTAAACTGAATTGATTTTGCCTTTGTTATAGTTGCAAGTGACAAGATCTTTATTCAGTATGTACGGTAGTGAAACACAAAACGTTGTTCATTGTATAACAGGAGCTTTAGTATGTCCTAAAACACTTTCTTGAATCCGTATTGACTTTTCTAGTGATGAAGTGTTTAATGAATCAAAATCTGACAAGATCTGACGTACAGTTGTTACAATATCTAAGATAAAAAAAGAGAAGGAATGAACATATTTTGTTAAGATTTACTATAACTACAGGGTAAAATGGTAAACGTTATTAGCCCCACACAGTGTGAAACTAATATTTCTTTTTCTACCATGACATAAATGGGATACAAAACTCTACACAAATATATTTATAGTAAATGTATATAATTATTGTAAGAAAGCTAGCTGATCTCAAAGAAATTGTGTTTTGTCCATTTTATTGTTTTGTTTATGAAGCTGTTTTAGATCACATTTGTTTACATCGCTATAATTAACGAATTCCACTATTTATTCAAAAACTATATATTAACTTATTCCTTCAATAATTTTTCATATATGATTTAACTCCAGTATAAAATATATAAACTGGTAATGTTTCCATTATTTATAATCGCTAACAAGAATATTCTACTAGCGATTACAAACTCTTATCCTGTACTCATGAAAAGATGATCTGCTTTAAACTTGATTATTCTTTCTAACCACTAATGTGAATGTAAACTGTACGACCTGAAAAAAATTTATTGAGAATGCCATTTTCGTGAAAACATATTACTATATTTTCGAATTGACATATATAAAGCCAAAAAAGTCGCGATTGTGAAAAGCAGTCTCGTTACTGGTTTGTGGAATACTTTTAAGTTGATAACTTATCATACTAACCAGAAATGGAAGATAAATAATGGGATCCTTAATGTGATGAACATGTAAAACATATGAAACGTGTGTTTATTTTTTATGTGTAGTTTGGTGTTTTATTTATAAGGAATAAAGACGAAAGATCCTAAGTAAATGCAAGAAAATATTTACCTGGTCGACAGTACTGCAGCACACGTTCAATCAACTCATGTACATCTTCTATAGCTGGTGGTGTTTCTATCGGTTCAGCTTTTATAGGAATATAAAATCTAGAAATAAATAAAAACAATTGACTGGTTAGCTGTCCTCATACCAAAACTTAACGCAAACTTTTGACAAACTGACAGTATTTAGTTCTATTGGTTTTCTTGTTATGTTAAATATACGCAGAAGTAATAAAATTTTATATTAAATGATAAAGGTTACATAATAAGGTAAATGCGATTGCGATTTACGTACGAACGGGGTTCATAAGTGGATTAAACCATGATACAAAAAGTGTTTTTTGTAAGAATTACTTAATAGGTAATTTCAGAGTAATAATTACCAAGAATAGGTTTAAATGAAACTAAAAAATACTGATTTATTCTAAATAAAAATCAACTTGATGGTTACTAGTGAGGATTATATGAGTGAATAGTTGTTGACTAGTACCTTGAGATATAAAAACCAGTTTGGTGCAGTTTCAAGAGTAAACCATAATGAATTTATGGGTTACCTCGCATTAAATTGCTTAATGAATAACGTTGGCACACGTTAACTTATTCTACTCTGTATATAAAATTTAAAGTTTCCGGGGAATGTTGAGTCTAATCAAAGATAGATTAAACACCGGATCATCTTGAAGTAAACCATTCGGTCAAATACTTCTGTATTGTATAATAATCAATAAGTTTATGTATTAAAGTGCGATAATACCTTACTCATCAACCCTCTATAATGAAATGACAAAGAGCGGAGTACCAATCCAGAAGGAACACTACAAAGAGATATCTGATACGTAGAATATAACAAGTGTTTTTGCATAAATCATCTCTAATAATGTAAACATCGGGAATTATTAACGCTCAATTGCTTGAAGTAACAGCTGGATGACGTTATCTAATAAAAGACCGGCAAAGTTTTTAGTGGCCAGTTACAAATGTAAACGTTTTCCGTGTTATACTCTGCTCACTTGCTACGGGTAACCGTTCTATAGGAAAACAGAAGATAAGATAATAACTTTACTGTGTCATTGGTTTGATAACCGTGGTGGTGAAAACGATTCGAAATTAAGTCAACCGTCACAAGCGTTAAAATACTGGCATCAACACAATGGTGGTAACTTCTCTTTATCCAGTTCCACGTAACAGTCCAAAGTAATTACATTAAACTGTTACGCTTTTTCTTCAAATAAAGACGTTTAGTGAGTCAAACACTTCAATTTACTAAAACGTTCAATCAATTCAGAATTATATACTATCAATCTCAGTATAAATAAAGCGATTTCTCTTAACTTGTCAAAGTCAAACATTTATGACTATCATAATATACCCTAATGTCAATAAAAATCTAAGTATTGCCTCCTTTTACAACCGTAAGATATAGTGTTGATAGTCAGAGACCATAAACAGCTATCTGTATTTTATTACTGGGATCTTTAAAGTATGGTGAAACCAAACGAACTAGCAAATATTGGTATCTTTGATGAAAATTTATTTAGGCGAACCCAACACAAATAAAAAGTGATAATGGATTCAGAAAAATATAATGTCATTACATTAAGTTATGCCTTCCACGTGCTACCCAAGTGAAGTACATTTATTTTTCCTGGTATTCTTACGTTTCCAAAAGTAGTAAATTTAATAATTTAGGTGATCAAGGTCAAGGTTTGTGTGAAGGTGCACAAATGTTCTTAATCTACTACTTTCGCAACCTTTTATTAGTAAGGTATATCCCATAGAAAATACCCTAACAAAACAAAGAAACAATTCCCGATTGGGAATCGATAGAGTCAACAACGGAACAAACAGTTGTATAGGTAATCTCATATCTGTTGAATAAGTTAGTGGCTGTATGGGGTTAGTAATTTATTGAACAAGGTTTTCACTTTCGAAGCGACAGATTTTAAACTTGACTCTCAATGTGGGCATCAATATTTGGATGCAGGTACACACAAACGACTCTGCTGGAATAAAATGAAACGCATGGCCTGATTACACTGTTAACCACAACCCACATGCATTAACACACTGTTAAGTTTGTAAAATAAAATGGATTATTGATTTTTATAAACAGAATTATAATTTAGAACAATGTTTACACTAAACTGGGAATGAATCTACCAAAATTATGGTCGAGTTCTAATAAAGATATGGGATACACGGATATAACGAAAGCAGTTGAGGAATACTTACAGGCTGCGGACCTTCTCTTGTTTATGTAATAAATTATCTAGAGAAAAATTATCAAAAAAAACTTGTTTGTATACTCTAGAAAACAGAGAATAAATCGCAACATAACTGGAATTTATTATAAAAGAAAATATACCGCTTAGACGAACAGAATGTAAGAGATTTACGTTCATGTCCAAAGTCAAACGTGAATGAAAATGCAAAGAATTGAAAACTCACGTAGATATACTTGTTGATGGTGTTGTATACAAATCGATTCAAATTTAGGTCAAGGTTGGAAGTTAAGTGCCGCTGAACATTCAACTTAGGTATCACGTTGTGGTGTCGGTATTGTGTCAAGCCCACATAGGTTATTCTAGCCTCTTGATAGACCAATTTATTCATTCTTCATGAGTCACATTTTGATCTTATCAATTATTCGCTTATTAATCTTAAATATTTTTATATGAGCATATGTAAGTCCGTTGCTTATGCTACTCAGCACATATCTTTAGCTTACTTTTGTTTAGCTATAAATGTTGAATCAGGCTTTATCAAACTGAGTTGACACAATTATCTTCTCCGGTCTGCTTCTCCGTTTCGTTTCTCTGATTGCTTATCTGAGGCAACGAGTTTATAAAATATACGTATTCAAAATTCATTTTACTCCGTTATTTTCTAACGCGAATTACGTCGATAAATATGTACAAGGGTCGGTGGCATGTATATTTGCTTAACGCCAACGTTCCATCAAATTTGAGCCAGAGCAGAAAAAAAGTGAATCAGGTTTAAAGACAAATACGAGCACCTAAATCAACAGATGAGTTATGTTCAAATGGGAAAGTGAGATTATTTTCTGTGGTTCATAAAATGTGAAATGTCACTAACCGGAGACTTTAACACATTTTATTTTTTGAACAATTATATTATTTTCTGGCTCTTTTCTACATCCTGCACACCAAGTTAAACGTTCACTTTTGTCACATCATGATTGCTTTCTTAATATCATATTTAAACATTAATACAACTAAATTTAGTGATGAAATCTTACCTTTAATTTCTTGTTCTTGCTCTTCTTCATCATCATCATTATCAGAAAGAGAGGAAGTATCTACTTCTTCATGTAGAATGCAAACGTCTTCTTCTTCGTTATCGCTCGTTACAAAGAAACGATGTTGTTCTTCATCTATTGGGGAAGGAGCAGTATCTATGATATGAGATGAGAGTGATCTTGTCGGTGATTTTTTTCCACTTTTGCTTTCCAGTATATACTGTTTTTCTATAGTTTCTTTAGCTTGTAAAATCTCACCAACCTTAGGCCATTGGTACTTTAACGCTCCACTGCCTTCTTTTACTCTTATTTTAGATTTGGCTTCCTGAAGACCGTATTCAAGTGCTCTCGACCATTTTGTTGGTTCCGCCGTCTGGTGACCAGTATTTTGTTTGGTATTTGTTGATAATATAGATTTCCTTTTAACATCTTCGATTAGAAGACGTAATATGTTTACAGGATTGGAAAATGGAGCGACTTGCATAAGTCGAGGTAGATGTTCACATAGTGCACGGATCCACCACCATGAGGTAGTAGTACATATTCGGGTAGGTTCGTAATATTGATTCTATATTGAAAATATAATACCGATGAACATTTGTGTGACGACAAAACAAATAAAGATTCTAAAATATGAATAATATTTTAGAAGTATCTTCAGTGAATCTGCTGGTAAATTTTCATTGTTTTTTTACCATGAGTAACAATGAATTCAAATATTGAATTACACGAAAAAGCTAACATTTGAAAGGCATTAGTATTTTACTGGAATTACTTGACTCCTTTAATTTGATGCATTATAGTAATGTTTCAACAGTCTGGTCTTATCAAAACGAAGGAAGTAGTCGGATTAAAAGGAAGAGTATCATAAGGAAAAGCTCTCAAAATCTAAACCTAAATAGTGTACAACAACTCTCCTACAGTCAATTCTGTCGAGCCGTTTTATTAGCTTATTTGTTTATTCGGACAATAACAACTCGTCTATTTCTTTTTATCATTATGGTCACTATCATGTATGTATAATCGTGTATGTTCGATCACATGTGACGGCCTACGCATATATCTTTCTCTAGCTTAACTGTTAATCACCTAAATATCGCTCGATGACTCATTCTTATATATATATATATATATATATATATATATATATATATATATATATATTCGCTCGATGTGATTATAGCTTTGTTATCAGTGCTATCCGCTAATAGACTGCAGTCTTGTTAATGAGGCCTTAACAGAACAACACTCTAGAAAATCATTTTAAAAGATAACGTTGTTCAGGTATCAACGGGTATGTACATGTAAGTCGTGTCAATAGTTTTCATCATATGATTACTAATAAAAAGATAATTTCTGCTTCATTTGTTTTTTGAATAAGAAAATTCTCAGATTTCTATATACCGGGAGGGTCTTATATCTAATTTCGGTAAGATTTTTTTAATGACAGTCGTAATCAGGCTGTCAAAATTGGGAGGTAAATGTTTTAAAAAAAATTATTCATGCTTACTAATTGAGAAACAAGATTTTCCAACTGAGTAAAACAAGCACTGACAACAGTTTCTAATTCAACAGAATGTTCAGCAATTGATGCAAGCTCTTTTAGCAATGCATTACCTTTTATTGCACTTGATTCACTTTTTGAAAATTCAGGCTTATTTGTGATCGGCAATGCAAGTATTATAGCTGCAATTCTGTAATTAATAATAGGAAACTTACATATACAAACATATTAGAACAATTAATAGAAATCCAAATAATTAAATACTTCACTTAATTCTGAAGTCTTCAGTTTGCGCAGACGTGATATACTAACTATAACCGTATTCCAAGGACTCTGTTAATATTCCATGTTTCATTAAAACACGTGGCGAAACTGCTTTTGGTTGTTTGTAATGACTTAAATTAATACTTTAGAATTACTGTCTTTCATTATTTCGTACTAATTGTCATTACGTTTTAACTACCACGATTTCTAGTCAACCTGAATGGCAAGTTAATGTAGGTCCTCCAACTCTTTACGAAGTTGAAAAAGCTATAGTAAATCTGAAGTGAGGGAGACCAGCAGGCCCTGACAGGTTTACTCCTGAAGATTTTTAAGGATGCTGGTCCAGTATTAGCAATGAGACTGATTGAGGTCTTAGGTAGGGTTTGAGAGCTGGACGTAATCCCATCTAACTGGTCTCAATCACTGATTGTTGACCACTTCACTTACCTTGGTAATCTGATCAACTCTTGTGCTCTGGTGTGTTGTGAAGTCACAGCACGGACACAGAAGGCTGGACTAGCCTGTGCCAAATTGCGCCATTTATGGCGTAGGCGAGATATCCGTCTACCAAACAGAGGACAAGCTTACTGCGCAGTAGTACATTCCGTCCTAATTTACCGCTGTGAAACATGGCCGGTAAGAGTAGAGGATATTCGTAGGTTACTACTATTTGATCATAGGTGTCTTCGAAACATTGCTCGTATATCCTGGGACCATCGAGTAAGTAACTTAGTTGTTAGGAAACGGGTACTAGGTAAGGATGGCAAATCCATTGATGAAGTGGTGAAACTTTATCAGTTGAAATGGCTGGGACAGGTGTTACGTATGCCCAACGACCGACTGCCTCGACGTGCGATGTTCAGTGGTATAGGAGTAGGTTAGAAGAAAGCTACGGGCGGCCAAACTAAAACATGGCACAAATCCATGAAGTCACTGACAAGTGGACTGAGTCATGTTGGTAGGTGTAGACTACCTGTTTGGGGACCGCGAGATGATAGCAACCGATGGTAGAGACCCTGAATGACAATGCTCAAAATCGTTTGCAATGGTGCAGGTGCATCCACTCTTTGTGTTCTCCCATATTTTGATCTCCTGATTCTTCCTTGTCTCATTTTTCCTCTTTTCAAATTTATTTCACTGGATTATGCCCTTTAAATAACATCTTCAAACCCTAATCTTTCGGATTTCTGCTTATACTCTTACCACCTCTACCACTACGGGATTTGAGTTGACAACTGTATCTTTGTGCTAATGTGGTGTGGCAACTCGAACTGATATACGTACGTACAAAGTTCTACGTAGTTACTGACTGACTGACTTAACTCCCATGTTATTGTTATGTGTGACACTTGTGTAGGATTTAATTTGTCCTAAAGATGTACTACTAGAGCTGTAAACGCGATACTGGCGACCCCGGAGTCTATATGAAAGCTCTGGTCAGAACAAGGACAACTGTGTTTTAAACTTGATCTGTTTCTAACCGTAAAAAAACAATTCGATTAGTACAATAATTAGAGGAATTGTAGTCATTAAGTGAAACGCACAAACATACCGACTAGTATTCCGTATCTTATCGAAATGAATACAAATTGTGAGCCACACTAATATAATAGGATAATAATATCCTTCAGTTGGCAGGTTACATGTAATAAGGATAATATCGAGACACATCAGATCAATTGGCGTGATGGGAGTATAAGCAACGATTAGATTGGTTAGTTATGGACATAAGTAACATCTTGTTTCTGTTGGTTCAGTTGATGAAGAATCGTCATAAAGTTGACTTTAGTGAATAATTTTTCGTCAACAACAAAAGCATCCAGTTATAAATTTAAACGAGCATAATGTACTCAGAAGGTACTCACTTTAGATAAGGTATGATTATTGAATAAAGCTGAAATATTTTGTTTTCATATTGTTACAGATCAAGAACAGTTAAATACACTGCTCTTGAGAGAATTCATAGGGTCTTAGGTCTTTTTATCAAGTTAGAAGACAATCTACATTGAGAGAGTAATCATGATAAGCAAATGTTTGGAGCAATATGTAATTAAGCGATAACAATCAACTGCTTCAATAATTAAAGTTCTACATAAAACTCACAGGCGAAGTAGTTTACGAAGAGCAAGTATCCTCGCCTCCTTTGATGGATTCCCTAAAGTTTTATCCAAGCTAGGAGGAAGAAGAGCTAATGGCCACGTGATAAGGTATGGCAATATTGGGGATAAAAGAAGACCACCAGTCATACGAACGTCTGGATTAGGCCGACTCGAATTTACGGATGGTGGTATATAAGAATATATAACAGACTCCAGTTTAGTAACCAGCTTGAGGACGAAATATGTAAGTGAACACTTTGCAGTTGATTGAGGGAGCTGTAAACTAAATAAACCAATGGAAATTCAAAAGTCAAAAGCGACATGACAAAAAATGTATTACAAAAGCGAAATTGAAAGTCCTTCGGTAAGATAATATAACTATGCTATATTTTACATTCTTTTCTAATAATATCCTAAGTATAATTTGGAACTATAAATTAATCCTGATCGTTTCAGCGTCTTTATATATCAGGTAGGCTATAGAGAGTATTCAGTAATTATATATTAGTTTCTAATATTAAATAATGTCGGTTGATTAGTATAAAGATAAATAAAATGAAGTGACTAAATTCATGAGTCCGAATTTCCTTTAAATTTCTAGGTTTGTTAATCAAAACAACTTTTTTAGAAATTCATTCCTATCATTTACAGCTGGGTATTCGGTAAAAACTCAACTTTACAGCCAAAATAGTTCTCAAATTTACTAGAAGTGAACTGACTTTGAAATTAAGGCGTAATTATCATCTCTGATCAAACTGTTAAATGTGTACATGTTATACAAGAGCAAGAATGGTTTTCGGTTGTATTTTTAAGATCGCTGTAGAAAAGATGTAATGCAAAATACCACCACTAGCTCTTAATATTATTCCGAATTTTTACAATTATCCTGCCTGTTTGCTTGAGAAGCTGTTATTGATTCCACACATTCTTAGTTTCAAACTATTGGGAATCAGAAAACATTACTGGTGAAGATGTGACAACTAATTCTTCAATTTTAACTACCAACAATCATGAAGAAACATCATAAGCAATAGTGTAATTGTTTCAAATTTTAACTTAAAGCTTACATATTATCTGGAAACAGTAAAATGACGTTTGTATGCATAAAAAAGGTATCAGTAATATGACCAAACTCTTAGTTAGGGCTTCAGTTAAGATTTAATTGATCATAAACTGTAACAAATATGCTACAAATTCATTCACGATTACTTGTTATCGTTCTAACTGATTCTAAAGCTTGTTTCTTTAAATGTTTTAATGATACAACACGGAATAAAAAAACGTGAAATCAGTTCACAAAATACGTTATTAACAAATTAATTATGAACAAATGAAATATGGTAAACATTGTCAAAGATTAAGTAACTTTGGTTTGAATGGAATTGATACCTCAAACCATAAAAATTGTTTAGTTTAATTTCTGCAACAAATAATCAAACACGTCCTCAGTATTCGTTCATTTTTAATTGAGAACTGACTAAATTTTAAAACCCAGAGTTTTAATTCGTGTCAAAACTCACACAAGTTTAACTTTTGTCTCCTGTGTTCGTATAAGTAACGAAACATGAATCAAGAGTACTCAAAATTTTCAAAATTAAATACGGTAACCCCTGTTTACTAAGGTGTTTTCAGAATTCAAAACATAAATAGTTGGTTAGATTCCAAAAATCATTTATTTGAATAGAACAAAAGAGCTAAGAATACATCAAACGTGAATGACATAATTCTGTTAAAATTATCAAGTGATTGTCTCAATCATCATAGTTTGAACATGATATGAATGACGTTTTACTTCCCTATAAAATAGTGACCCTAGACATGGTGAATTTAAGCTATTTATTGGGTTCACCACTTTGTTCTATCACATATATAAACCATATATACACTTAGGTTATGATACCGAATACAATAATAACGCAGAACCTAAAAGTAGACATCCTGTTTGATTTTACTGGTCTAGTTCTTACATGATAGTATGACTACTGATTGCGATAATTTCTAAGTTTAATAAGTGAGGACATTTTAATTTGTACGATATAGTGAGATCGATGGTATTGTGGATGGGAATTACTGCTCCCATAGACCCCTTACTCGTCTAATTTTTTATGAACCTACTTTATTAGGTAATAATAACAACCAGAAAATGGTTGTAAGTTATAGATACATTATGTAATATCGCTGATTGTAATAGTTAAGTCAGTGAACTAGCTTATTTCCTAACAATAACGTCAAAATATACTGGCGAATTATGAAAGTCACTTTTTTATAAGAATAAAACTGTCTTTGTACCATGTACAAGTTAGTTTAGTGTACACCCAACATAAGAGGATATGGGCAATCGTCAAAAATAAGTTTAATGCAATCGGTGGAAACAGTGTATTTCACTTTTAGAGTGTGATTACCACGGAGAAGTTAATTTGAATAACTATTAGCAACACTTTAAAATAAGTATTCAAAAATTTAAAGCTAATCGACGGTGCCATTGTACTGTGTTCTTTGAATAAACAAACTATAAGGCATATAAAACGTCCAGACAATTGTTACATACCATGATAAATATGGCTTCTGCGTTATCATCATTTTGTGGAAATTGACAACACTCAGTATTGGTTCATTTGTAGGTCCAAGTTTCACGTCTATGCGTTGAGCGAATTCGACAACGCCTTTAATACATTCTACCTACAGTTTTTTTATTAAATAAAGGATTTACTATCAAACCAATTTTAAGTTTCAAAACCTATGTGACATAAAGTTAAATTTATCTGCACTAATATTAGTTGTAAGTAAAGAGAGTGAAAATCTAGACTTTGTACAATTTTAAGTTGTTCAACTTACTAAAGACTGCCATGTTAAAAGTATACTCAGGTTTCTCAAAACTATGCATTATAAATATAGCCAACCAACTATAAGTTTATTTGGTCTCTTGTTTATTAAATTTACTTCACAGTTATTGGCTATATACCATGACGCATAAAGCTGTTTTCCTCAGTTTTAGCAGAGTTAATATTATGTTATTCAGTATTTTCATAGGATATTTTAAAGCACTTTCATTATTTTTACTGCTTAAGGGTTAGAGCGATTTTATTTCGATACGTTCAGGAGTTCAGCAATTTATTTTTCATGATATGTGGTGGGTAGTTTTTGAATTGAGGAATCGTAAAACAAATTTCCAGACTACAAAAAATGTTTTAAAATAGCAAACAATTTTTATTTCACACACATATTTTTCACGATTAATGTGTCGATGGGTAATTACAGTTGTTAACTAAATGAAAATTTTTAAAATTTTTCTAGAAGAATTTGATTCAGAAAATAAATTATGATGTAGAATAAGTATCAAGTGTGCAAAAGATTCAAACCTAAGTTCACCGTGAATTTTGACGAGTCCACTTTTCCAAATGCATTTATAATAAAGTAAACATTAAGAATAACTCCACCTGGAGCTCCTCTAGAGCTACCACCGGATAAATAAGAAGGTCTGAGAAGAGAGTCATCAATCACCCTAAACCAAGGCTGCCTAGTTTCACCTCTCTTTTATCTTCTGCTTGTTGATTAGATTATGAAGTTCAACACATATAAGGAAATACATAGAATACAGCGAAGACCTTGGATAAAGCTGGATGATTTGAACTGTATGGATGACTTAACATTTGTATCACAAACAAAATAAATTTAGGTGGAAAGAGACGATGTAACAGCGGCTTCAGCAGAAACACGCCTAAACACTTACAAGAAAAAAGAAAGATTCTGAAGGACAATATATTACGAAACAACCAAATCACACTTGGTAGAGAAGCTCTGGAAGTGGTGGAAACTTTTACGTACCTGGACAACGTCATGAATAAGCAAGAGGGATTTGATGCAGATGTGAAGGCACGGATTAGTGTAGCCATAAGAACATCCATACAGCTGAAGAACATCTGTAATTCGGAACAACTGTTTCTCAACTCTAAAGTCATAATTTCCAACATAAATGTTAGAATAATTCTATTGTACGAAGCTAAAACGTGAATAACTAACACAACTATCACTAGAAATGTACAGGCATTCATAAATAGCTGTCAATGCAAGATATTTCGAATCCATCGGTCAGAGACCGTCAGCAATAATCTTCTGTGGCAGAAAACAAGTCAGGTGCCAGTTGAGAAGGACAAAGCATCCTACCAAAACCATCTGACTACCTTATAGGCAACCCCTAACATGAAATCTTCGAAGTAAAAGATGAAGAGACAGAACAAAGACTACATAGGTCTGAAGTTTGGAGGCAGACATTAAGATCATGAATAATACTTGGAAGGAACTGGAAATAAAAGCCCAGAACAGAGTTACTTGGAGACTATTGGTCGGAGCCCATACACGATGAAGGTATCAAGCTTAAGTTTGTAATCAAATGATCAGAATAGAATTGTAGTTACAGCAACCTCGTTATTATGATGATTCGTTTGGTTTAAAAGTAAATACATACATTTTAGTTAATTTATATAAAAAAGTTTTAAAGCTTAAACATTTATCTAGAAGAAATTAACGTGCGTTTTCGTATTAGTTAATAGATGTTCACTTTAATACTGAGTCACGTGTATCATACCAATGAATTGAACAAACAAACGGATAGTGTCTTTTGAACAAACCACCAGTTTTGAACATGTTTTACAAGTGTATATCTATTAGTTGGGATGGGATTCTCATCGTTCCAACCTCTTTTTAACATTTATTATATTACATTTGAAATAAGATGACAAAGTCTATAATGAGTTTCTTTAAATGTTTTTCTAAAAAAGATTATATTTGCACTAATTATCATGTTATTTTTGTAAACTACTGTTAAACTGAAATAATTTATTTATAAATCTTCAAGTCTCGAGAACGCAAATTCTGTCCCAAAAATGAAGACTACATTTCATTTTTCAGTAAACTTAGAGACCAACCGTTTATTTAATCGAAGCTAAAACATATAATATTACCAGATACAATAAGCGTTTAATATGGATATAATATCGTAAATTTTGATTGTTCGAAAGTAACTTACTACATCTTTCGCATCTAGATCTAGTTTACGTTGTGCGTATGGCAGATTTGAAAAAGGATTAGGCCTCATATTTTCCCAGGTGCATGCTACGAGTGATAGATTAGACAATCTGTGTACAAGACAAAGGGTTCTCAAAGCACATTCTATTGATAAAGTACTGATAAAAAGAGCCATTGTGCTATCCAGAATATATTGCTGGCAACATTGAAGCCACAGTCTTGATCTATCCGGCGAAAACAAACCATAAAGCAATGCTACATTTAAAATCGGAACAGTTCCAGAAATCGCATATTTTTCAGTGAAACCAGGTTCTTCCTCTTCTTTTTGTAAAATTTCATCATACATGCATAATTCAGATAGACCATCACGTAAAATCTTTAAAGTTGCATACGACATCATAGTTGGCGGACCCACCATATGCAACGAAATCATTTCCAACAAAAGATCAGCATCATACCATCGTATTAGCCTTCCGACATCATTAATGGCCTAAACAAAAGAAACTGTTATTAATCTCAAAAGTCTGCAATTTCGTGACACAAAGTGAAACAGAAGTGTTGATTAACATGAAAAAGGGTATCACCTTTATATAAACCACAAAACCTGCTATCAATACAAGGATATTTGTAGTGTGTAGCGGAACGTGGCGTCGAAATTGCAACAGTTGTCTGACGGAGTGAAGTTTGAGTGCATAGAAAGCACAGCATTTGACGGAACATTTAGTAACCAGACGAGAAGACAGTTCAGATGACAGAATACTCCAAAAGATGCAAATAGACGATTGCAAGCTATGTATTTGCACTATGTCAATAGTTTGTAACTTCTTGTTACCTTTCTTTTGCCTATTGTTTTAATTTATACTTGATCATTATCATAAAACGATGAGATGAAAAACCATATGCAAGAAGGCAATACAGGCAGAAGACTAGATATTCAGTATTTTATATCCTGGGAACTACAAATGTTAACTGACGAAAACGTTGCTTATTGAAGTAAGAATGTTGTGTTAGGCAAATAATAATTGGAAGTTATTATTCAATGAACTGTTAGATGAAATACAAAAAAGGTCCCGAAAATTCTAGACACCAAAATGCCTTCCATTATTCTCCTTTTCTCCATAAACATATAATTTCAGATTGAATAAAGGCTGAATTGTTCTCTCTCTCTTAAATCACCTAACTTCAGTACGTAAAGCCAAATGCTGAATAAACCAGTTAAAAGTAGATCGATACCGTACTGAGGTTGTTTTCAGTGACATTTATGAAATAACATACTTGTGGAATTTAGTATATATATGACCACAATGTACTTAAGGGGTTATAGAGGTTCCAGATTTCGTTAGTATAGTTATACTATAGTAACCTCGAAGGTATTCACATCAAAGTGTCTGGTTACTTCCGAAAACTTCGTCCAAACTTCTGAACACGTCGTTGAAAATATTTCATTGCAAACATGCTAGGATAATTTTTATGTTAATGTCTTCAAAAAATACTTATAAGCATGTGTTTGAATCCAAGCTGATTCAAAACAACAATTACAGATAACTGATAGTGGTCAACAATGTGACTTAAAATTGACTGGAAAAGATAATGTTAGATTTTTGTTATCAAACCTGAGCATGGTTTATTTTCATCGATACAGTAAATGTCTAATTCATGTGCGTACATTTTTTTATTTGTGGATATGATCTGACAAAACAATTTATCAAACATTAATGATAGGAAAAATTACATATAACGGATACTTTTTGGGCTGAATGACGTAGACCATTGTTCTCATCTAATGTACACTCTACAGCTAATCGTAATATATTGAATGACATAGATTTCATGCTGATAGAATTTAACTCTGAATGACCGACATTTGTTTTACTCGTTGAAGTTAATCCTGACACTATACTTAGACGTTTAATCCACGACTGAGTTTTGCTATCCGTCTGTTTATCCTATAAGAAACCAAGAAAGTAAATTCACTTAAAGTATTATGCTATTATTAACATCAACATTACCTTAAATACAATGTTAATTATCACCTTATGAAAAATCATTTATTTATTTTTAAGAATAATTATTTCAATATAACAAATATTTTTTAGATTTACAGAAAAGTTCATATATATATAAACGATTCAAGAAGCAGTTAATCTTTATTTGCGGTTAAAGAGATAGAATTTCCAGATTTGCTTAATGTCAACTGATGCTGTTTTTTTCCATTATACTGATGAGCAGCTTTAGAAAAGTAGTATTTAAAGATCTTTTAAAATATCAATACTTCTAAAACACACGCTTTATCAGATTATGTGTGACAGATGCCGAAATTAGATGAACTCTTATTCTTTTAGGGCGAAAAAGGTGAGGTCTAACATAAATAAAAATTCATTATATATGAGAATTGGAAATTTTGATAACCCCTTACTAGCAGCTTCACCAATGAAGCAATATTTATGAAACTGCTGTGGCATAAACATGCGAAGTGATGTCTTTTAACAAGCTAAAAAATTTCCGAGATCTGTTAACTTGAAATGTTGAAATGTTATTACTTAATTATGCAGTTGATACTACTGGGAATTATGAATTATGAATTTAAATTAACGGTAAGATGGAAATTTTCATTCATTACATTTTAAGAATAAAACTAGTGGATTTAGTTGTTGAAAAAATGTGTGTTTTGAAGATGTTCGGAAACTTGTAAAGGCGCATTTTGAAACATGTGATCACAGGGCTCAGTGAATATAATGAAAATTCACCTTAGTGATGAGAACGATGGACTACAAATATTACTTGTATGGTACTGACAAAGCTTCATCATTCAAAAACACTTCCATTTATAAGAAAATTAAAAAAGAATCAGAAAATGATTTGAGACACTATGTAACTTATTAATAGTTTTTGATATAGATTAATTCTTTTCGATTCGTCCCATTTACTACACTTGCTTCGTAATCAATATTTTAAAAAAATCAGTCAAACCTTTCAAATAGCACAATAGAATTGTAAATTTATTAATATTCTAAACAGTGCCAAAATAATTATGTTTTAGTAGTGTCTTTTTGATCCAAATCACAGAAACATATCAAGTGGGTGCTGAATAAATTAAGATACAGATGGACGTAAATGCATCAGATATAATAAATAAAGAGCATCGTATAGTAAACAAATATCTAGTTTATATTCAACATTTTCGAACACTGTTAAACATGAGCATGGTGTTGTGTACAGGAAGGTAACAATCTTATACGTTGGGCAATTGGTCAATTTCGGTAACTTTTAGTAATTTTACTGACTGAATATACAGGTCAGATAAAAGGAAAATTTCTAAAAAATATTCGAAATTTACAATCAAAATAAACATTCAGAAAACGTAAACTCACATTTCTTTCGTTGTCGAGCATTCGGATATTTTCCAAAACTGTTAAATAAATGGACGTTTGTGGAGAGCTTAATTTTGCCCCCTGTTGAAAGCTAAATAAACGAAAGAAAGGAGTGACATTATCATTAACTGATAACACTGAATGATGATGATCGAGCAATATTGCAAACTGATTAGAGTTGAATATGCGACACTAGACTTCAGTTCATTAGCTGATAGTTAAGTGCTCTACATGAAACTTAAATATTGTGGATACAATCTAGCGTAAAGTCGAAGGTGTGGTTTAAAACAAAATGAAATGGTGGATCAATACACCTTGGTTTCTGGATAGCTCTGTAGTTGACACCATGTAGTGATGAAAGCAACATTTAATGAACACAACGACAACTTATAAAAGAGAAGTAACTGTCTCAATTAAGTTGATTTTTACAAATCCATGAGCTAAAATTAAGTTATTAAGATTGTATGTGTCACTGAAAACAGTTTATAATAATAATTATTTCAGGTCTTTTTTCACTAGTTTAGCAACAATTTCTTTTTATAGAAATAAACTGAAGCTCTGATTTCTATTGTTATTGTTAATTTTCAATTAAGTTTTGATCAGCTTACATATTAAATAGAAGTGTTACTATAACTAAATCCGTTATCATGGTGAACGAATAAGAATGACATTAATGAATGATATCATTTTTGTCATGTACAGAAGGATAATATTTCCTCGAACCATCTTGTAGTTCCTCTTCCAAATACTTTTAATCAATGTTTACTTCAAGTCAGAATTATTTTCTTGGTGAGCTTAGTTTATAATGTATGAAACGTATAAACAAAGAATGCTGACTAACCAATTTTAAATCGTATATGTATGAAAGGAGAAATCGTGGTAGAAACTGAAATTGTACCCTATTTCTTTTCAATAAATTCATTATCAAACTGTACAGTTTATCTAACTGGGTTTTCTTTTCTTGTAAAAGCAGTTAGGAGTTGAATATAAACATAATTAGCTGATTTCAATAACCCAACTAACCTATACGGTATTTAAACGTTGGTTAAACGATCATTTTAGATCTATGAAGATTATTTCGGCTACTATTGTTTGTGCAACATAAAACTCTTTGAAATATGTATTTGAAATGGTCTTAACCTATTACTATTCTTGATGATAATAATTTCATTTATTAAATTATTGTACTGGTTCATTGAATTATGTATCGATTTAAGCTGGCGTTTTACTGAGTTGTGATTTCATTTCACATTCCTTCGGATTTAATGATATAATAATAGTCATTGTAATTTGCTTATTACATTCACATTGTAACTGATCATTAGCATAGTAGTCTTGTATCCATAGTTTATTTATACTCACTATATAAATATTATGCCGTCTTGTATGTTTAACATTTTATATTATATATGATGTTATAGTTCTCATTATTACTCTGACAATGCTACTCATTGTTCAAACTTTCTCGCGTGACTAAATCATTATAAATACATCGATATGCAAACGAATATTTTGATCATAAATTCATTGAAATTGAATGTCTTCATCGAATTTCACTGTTTGGTATTTTAATGAAAATTATTAAATCATCACAAAAAAATATTGTAAAATGTAAAATGGCTTCAAGTAGACGGTTTAACTTTACTTACAGCGTTGGTGAACTTTCTACAGGTTGTGACTATAAGGAAACCAAAATTTAACAAAAATGGAATAACCTAGCTATCAAAAGGTTCAAACTAGTAACATTTATTAATAATTTGCTAAAATGGACGTTTTCCTTGAAGTTAGCAATTCATACATATGTACTGATCTCAGATTGATAAAATCGTTACTTTTCTTTGTTTTTTAAAGTATATTTCCAACAAAATTTATATGAACCGAATGGAGGTTTGTGGAGAATGTAGTGATTTTAGTAGTTAGATTCATGAGTCGATGCCGGCTCAGTGGTTTAAAGGTTAAGCGTCCACGCGCGAGACCGAAAGTCCCGCGTGCGAGATCGTGGATGCGCACTGCTGAGGAGTCCCATACTAGGACGAAACGGTCGTCCAGTACTTCCAGGTTTTCAATGGTGGTCTATCTTACATCAACTCATGAATTCAACTATTAAAATTTATTTGAATTGTGAACAATGAACTGTGTTCAACTTTTTTTATGATCATGACCTAATTTGTTTTTAACCGCAATGGTTTTACTATTCGAATAAGCGATATATATATATATATATATATATATATATATATATATATATATATATATATATATATATATCCAGATACTGCTCACCCTACACTGAGTAGAAAAAACAGAGCGTCATATCACTTCAATTTCTTTGGTAAATGTCTTTGTAAATTCATAAGAAACGTCACACATTTGTTCAAGAGTTGACTGTACTAACATGCTATAAAGTATACAGATTTAAGTTTATTCTAAATCAGGGTTTAAACACAATTTTTATCTACTATAACCATCCATCAAGTGGTCGTATGAATTAGGTGACGAAATGGTCTTTAGAACACTGTCCTCGATAGCTAAAATATTCCTTCTGAATAGTGTTCTACAGTTTTCGGATGAGCGCATAACTTGATGACGCTAGAAATAAATGGAAAAAGATAGAAAGTTGGATGTAAAGAATTGATGTTTTTGGTTTATCACAACTTTCTAGTTAAGTCCCCAAATATCATGCAACCGAGTAGTTTTGAACGTCACTGAACATGATCCAGAGTAGAAATTAGTGCAGATTTTGCTGTAATTTTTTTGTAACAGCCTTAACAACAGCTAGATGAACTAACTTCATTAGTAAAACAAAAATGAAATTATCTAATTAGATAAATACTCTAGTATTTTTCACAAAACTATGATTCCTCCCAATTTTTATGTACACATTATATTATGACTTATTTACAGGTGAACCACTGTAACCTTTTTAATCTCTTTACTTGAAGCAAACCCATTCCATTAAAAAAAGTCCATAAGGAAGCATTCGTAAAAAGCCATAAAAAATCATGTATACTCATAATAGTAAGCTATGTTCCACAAGAATTATCCGTTAATCATTTTGCTATCTACTGCTTAATGATACTGAGAGATCGACAGGATTTGGTAGAATCCAAGAATACTTTCACATCTAAATACATCAAAGCGAACTTCCTGAGACCTATAACTAAAATAAAAGTTCGTGTAAAAATGAATAGACTTAAAACGAAAGGCTAATATTATTCTATTCGAAACTTGAATGTTCCTTTAGATGAACCTAAGTACAAAGTGTGGTCATCAAAAATTAATAGGACGTCTATAATAAACCTATGACAAGGCTAATTTAAAATGTTGAACTAACCGATGCTGATGATTTATTAACCGGAGCTCGACGATCTGGATTTGAAACAAGAGCAGGAGGAATTGATTTTGGTACAGGACTGAAGCCAAATTGGTGTAAATTATTATTTGATGATGTATATAAGGTTCTTTGAGGACAGTCATCTAAAAGGACAAACGATTTAGAATTGTTTATCTAACCAGTTCAAAGGGATTTTACCTGTAAAGGTTGGGCTGATACAAAAGTCTTCAGAATTCATTGGGTTATAACCATCAGCATCTAATTCGTGAAGAGCTTTAAGATGAAGCCCAACTAATGAGCGTGCGACTAAATAGTACATGCGCATGCGCCCCTCACGCCATGTCCAACTTAATCTGGAGCTCACGGTCAAAGGTATTTCTGTAAAAGAAAAAAATAAATAAAAGGAAAATAGTTCAACATATTCAAACATAATTATAACATTTTCGCGTTGTAAGCACAACAAAGATGACTATTTTATGTGATTCTTTGATTCACTTTGAACAAATACAATGAGAACAACTAATTTATGATGAATCTCGAACATGATATATGAAATGCTATTAGATACAAGTAGAAAAAAATTTACAATCGTACATTAACTTGCATTTAGACGTAAGGACTTAGCTTGTTATGTTATATCGTCACTATAATAGCAAACATATAGAACAATGCCTACATAATATCAGTATGTACCAGCTGTTTGACTGATTCGTGACGAAAAGGTTTAAAATACTTGGAAAAGTTACAGATAGGTCGAATTATCGACAACTATTAAGTGAATAATTAAATATTTTATTTGCTCCTAATGATTATCGTATAAACGTATGAGTAAAATAAATATCGAATGAGGAAATATTTAATGATGTTTATTTTGGTTGGTGATATTATTTTGATTAACGTAAGAATTTGTGAATAAAAATTATGAAATAAACTTGCTTTTTATGCTACTTACCACGCGGTGTGATAGTTTCCGTTTCGTTTATTTGAATTAGTAGTTTTGAAAGAGGTGATAACACATCTTGCTTAACTTGCCACTTCTCCAATATTTTATTCAATAGGTAACGAATACGATTGGGATTTTTGGATGCACTGATGACTTGTAAAGTGGAAAAAATCAACATCTTGACATAATTATTAGCATAATTACTTGTGGTTACATTGAATCTTAAGTAATGTGACGAGACTGTCAAATCATGTATCAGTCATCATCAAATATATGAAATGAAGATTAGCAATTGAATGACTGGGAAAAGGATATGACAGATCCAACTGATTCCTACAGGTTTGGAAACTCTTAACAGTGAGAGACTCCGCCAAGGATTGAACTCAGGACCTTTAGGTTGCCTTGATTCTATTAAACAAGAGTCGAATTTCTAGCCTCAGTCAATTCGCGATATATCTCATCTATCATTTACTGTCTTCGGTTATGACCGCAAAACTCAATATGATTAAAAGCAAATAGTAACAGTTTATTGCTAATTCGTTTCCAATGGTTCTTTAGCGAACGCCGCTTAATGACGATAAAAAACTTCAAGTTAGCAACATACTTCAACATTTGCACGCTATCAGAGCTTCTGAAACATCTTTAAATAATTTCAGAAATTTACGTAATCTTTTTTTTAAAGTAACGACCTCACGTCTTTTTGAATAAAACATACTTGTAAAACATTCGACGATATTGCGTAAAGTCTGTAATTACTGAAATATGTATTGGAGACTTTGATTTCCAACTGTTCGTGAAGAAATTTGCTATTACCTATGGATTATATGCGAGTCACTATTACTGGCATTTAATGGCATCACACTGGGTTAAGTATTTATTATTAAAAAGTGTCAACAAAAGTCATGTGATGAAATTTTTCTGGTGTAGATTATGATAGGGGTATTTGAAAATACACAAATTTATATTTTATATGGTATACAACAAATCTCTAAAATAATAGATTGTAAGAACCATCTGATAGATTCCTCTAAAATGTCTTACACAATGTCAGGTACAGACTGCATGCACTATCGCGAACATATTGAGATGAATGACCCAAATAAAAATTAACTAAACAGTTCTGTAAGTCCCCAGTATTCGAAGGCAGATTGGTTTCACCAACTTTCTAAAATTAACATATGAAAATTTTGTAATTAAATTGATATTTTATTTAAAAGAATGGTTGCTGAATAAGGGACTTTACGTAAAAACATCTAACTTTAAAATATTTCTATGTAACTGTTGAGTAGGCTTTCCAAGAACTGCAACGGAGCCTCCAGAGGCCCTAAAGGGCCCGGAGTGCTAGCTAATCAGAGCATGATGGAGCTTTCTAGAATATCGACGTGGCGTGCTACTATTGGTCGGTAGCATAATGTCTTCTAGCGGATTGGCCAAAATACGATGTTGATTTAACAAATGTTAACATTTATAAATACCCGTGTTTTTCTGTACAAAATTGAACCTTTGGAGTAAAGTGTTTTTCGCTTATTTTGCTCCTTTTCTCTCGAATTCAGGTTGCTGCGTTACCAGAATAGCTTAGAAACCGAATAAAGCGTCCAAATTGACAGGACTTATCAGTAACATTACTTGATTTTCGCTCTATAAATTGTATACTATTTGCGTAGCTGTATACATTTGGACGTTTTGGAAAGAATATCTAATAGGATGATTGATTTCTAGTCTAGGATTCAGAGCTGGATTCAGAAATAAGAAATACAGAACACATTTTACGCTCTCACTGGTTACCAACAAATTATTTTTATGATCATATTGTTTAGTAAGTGCCTGGATACTTTTGTTTTATTTTACATTCTTACAGGGTAAGAATAAACACAATTAATATGAAAAATAATAAATTATTATGAATGTTGAAGAAAAGAATTTTCAACCACATTGGTAATTTTGATAATATGGGTAAACTTACCTTAATTAAAGATCGACAAAGAGTTAGGAGACTTTCATTGAAATATGGGTTACTTTTCCAGCTTTCGAAATTTGAGGGCTGCAAGCAATTAATATAACTGTCTGATAACTAAAGTTTTAAGTTATTAAAGGCTTTAAATAAAGAATGTATGGTGACATATTGAGTCTGGTAAAATGTAAAATATACAATGCAAAAATAAAGCCTAAAATTGTATTTCTTTTGTTTTGTTGTTTGGTCTTGTTAAAGCATTTGATTTTTCTCTTAATTAACTGACAAAAATTAAGGAGAAAAGATGTATTTAAGAAAAGGAAGCAACGATTATTATGAATAGATGCGATGTCAAATTAAACACTAATTCCTTTGAATGAAAGCTACTGTTCTAAAAACGGTTGAAAGTTTAGTGTGTCACTTAATTACAGACACTCATAAATGAAAAGAAATGTTACTTTATCAAGCGATTGGTCATGTCAGTTATGTAAAAACTTAGACATTGGTTGATTTATGAAATATTTAACAAAATATTAAGACCATTTTTATGTACGCCAATTAGTGTAAAATCTTTTTTACTAACTTTAAGAATAGTACATTAAAAGAAAGTGAAAATAAAAGCTTACTGATTTATCTTGGTAGGTTTCAGATTGCTTATCCGCGTTCATGCATAAATCATTTACAGTTTGAAGAAGAACTTCTTTAAATGTCTAATGACGTATACACAAACAAACACTGATAATAATATTAATGATGTTACTAAAATTATTAATATTATTATCAACAGTTATATGATTAGTTATTTATTAATTGCATTATATCTGATCATTTTGAGTGGCGTTTGATGTAAATGGTATGCAACTTCTACTGTTGATTCCAAGACTATTGTTGATTGGAGTCATTTCCAATATCTCAATATGGATATACTTGATGTGATGGTCCCATTTGTTAGTCATTCAAAATACGCAACTACTAGATTACTTTTCCTCATAAACTGATTCTTTAGGCTTGTTCTTAAAGCTTACAGTGAAGTAATTGATTAATTGTAAAATTCATTTTAAATCGCCGTAACACTGAATAAGACAAAAAATAATCTCGTAGTAAAACAAATTTCTGTACTAACTATATTCATTAGTGCGCTTGAGAATGAAACAAGTTGGGCACTGAAAATAGCACACCGAACCTTGTTTCATAGATTCGTGTTGCCGGTGATAGGTAAAGAGTTGGCAAAAAAGGTGCTAACAGAAAGTCTATGAGTAACCAGCTGTAAACAGTTCCCGATTGAACTCAGGAATCACAATCTTGGATACACAAAACTATCACTACTAATCTAGTCTTAAACAAAGCAAGAACAACTTTTTCAGGTACCTCAGGGAGAAATTTCTTTTTTGGTGAGTAGTACAGGACAGCTCCAGCTACACACATGCTTCTGATAGAGCTCAGATGTTCTAATGATTAAAATGTATTATGATTCAAAGCTTTGGACTGATGTGAACTTTGATTAGCTGAAATTTGATCGATTTATCGGACCAATTCAATTGATTCTGTTCACCAAATCGAAAAAGTGTAAACTAAGCAAAGTTTTCAAAAAAAATTACGATTGAAACCTACTTCATTCGGACATCGACTGAGGCAGGTTAGATAAACTCTGACTGCAGCTTTGCGTACATTGAAGTGATTACTCTGAAACAAGTTGGTAATCATCGTACTCAGTCTTGGAAACAACTGATTCTGAACGTACTCCTATATATGTAACAAGCGAAAATAAAAGTTTGATATTTAAGGTGCGTGAACATGTACCTAAATGGTTGCAGAAACAAATAAAATCACACGAAAATTCAAACCCCCTTTGTATGTTCAAAAACAGATAGTTTTTATCTTAAAACTACCCTGATAATGTTAGCTTATTATTCAGAGTGATGAGGTTTCAAACTGTTTTCACACTGTTTTCTTTATTATCCTTGTCTCTTTTTACTCTCCATTTGTCTCTGTGATGTTTTATTTTTATACATAAATGTCCTTAACAAGTATATGTGTAATCAGATTGTCCAAAATGTAATGCACTAATATATCATATAGTTCCGATAATCTTCGTTTTCCTATAACGCTATCGAAATTTATCAAAAGAACTAATTGTCTCAAAAGTTTATTCACTTAAAGAATATTACATTAATAGAATTTATTGAGGGCTTATAAGGTTGGTAACAAAATGGTTTCTAACTTGTTTGCTTACCTCTGAAAATTTATAGGCAGAAAGATTCGTTTTTGACATTAGTGTGTTTCCAGATAATGATGTCCTTGAATTACATAATTGCTCGCTGGGCACCAGCCTTCTCAGCAAAACATTAAGTACTGAAAACAGTAATGAAATATCTCTATAAAAACCTATTAGTTCTGTATAACTTCCCATGTACCACATAAAGGAAAATAGACCTCAAGGAAAAAAATATGTCTGAGCAGAAATAAATGTTAGTAACTAAAATAGAATAAATAAATGTAGTTAAGTGTTAATGTAAGGTCTAAATACGACGTTGTAATAAATATCAAAAATATAATGAGTACCAAGCTACTGAAAGATTATTTGAAACTACCTACTAAATGGTGAATCTGAAGAAGGCTTTAGGACAGCATGTTGAAAAATCATAAGTAATACCTCAATCAACGATATTCTTGTTTATGATACCTGGTTTTTATGGAATATCAACAAAATCTATATTAATTTATCTTTCAAAGCATTTTGGGATGGAAATTATGTTTTGAGTTCACTGGGCTTGAATTGTTTTTCCAAGGCTTATGACTCATTGCGATAACATGTTTACTTCATGTTAGGTATTCAAATATTAACTTTGTAACAGGTTTACAGTGAACACTTTAAAACTCTTAAATTGAAGCAGTAATAGCAACACAACTGAATTTGGTACATCCCTCAGGAAACGTATTTGTATTTCTACCAATAGTACTTCATGTAAAATAGTATGCCGTAAGTTAATTATTTAAATCAAATAATTTTTTCAATTACTGAGTTACAATAGAGACGTTTACACTAGCAACTGGCTGTTACATTGCGTCAACAATAAATAAACGATGAAATGTTATTGTAGATTTCATTAGTATCACTATATAGAGAAACCTTTCTTACTATCTATGACACCTTCAGTTACTTCACTAGCACAGACTTCTGGTTTCTCCAATATCTGAAATTGTGAACGAATAAAATTATGAATTAGTCAATAAATTTTAATGAAATTATGGAAACGATTAAAATGTTTCACTCCAAATTTTTTTATGATCGTGACCTACTTTGTTTTTAACCGCAATGGTTTTACTGTTCGAATAAACGATATATATAGGCTGTAAACAGTTTAATTTTAGTCAGTTTACTATTAAGCGTGAACTAATGTAGTTTCGTTTGTCATAATTCTCTTACACTGTATACATAGTATTCAAACTAACGATTGACAATGAAAAGCTAATCAACAAAAAATGAACAGATGTCAGGTATGAAAGAAAAATTTAAGATAAGCCACTGATATGAACAAAATGTATCAGGGCATGAAATAATATTTTTCTAAAATAGGACTTAAACCTTTATAGAATTGTCGTAATGCTCTTTTCCTGGAGGTAATATTAACAGAAACAACAAAAAGAAATGTACAGGTGTACATTTGAAACTTTGTGAGGTTGTCTCAGACGGATACCCGTAAAGTTGATACCAGATAGTGCTAACTGTAAAATTGAAAATACGTTACTGAAAATAATTCAATTAACTTTGTATTTTGAATATGTAGTCAACACAGATTGATTGCAGGCCAAAAACGTAAGGCTTGTTCTCTTCTTTCTTGACTGAAATCTACTAGATATTATTTACAAATGGTCAGTGAAGTAAACAATATGAAAGATTTATGCGATCACACGTCTAGACAAAGAGTGCTCATCGCATTATAGTATGTTCATGTTTGAAATGTCACCCTCAGAAATTTATTAGTAGTTTAGGTGGATTTCGTCATCGAAGTTTGAAATAATTATACAAATGTAGTCGTTAGTACACTAAAAATAATTTAGAGTGTTGATATTGTTAACATAAGCGTTGGTCGAATTTACCTAACAAATGGAATAAATCTCAACACGGCTGAAGTTATGCCCCGCTGCCTAATCATAATTGTAGAACATTCTTTTCATCAACTGTTCCTAAGCACTTGAATACAATGCATCACTTACATACGTCTCTAAGTAATTGCTTACTGTTAATGTGCGTTTATATATATATATAATCTACATTCCTTTGGATTTACTGTAATTCACATATTATAAACACTACTAAATATTATAATCGTAACTGCAATTACAGTGATTGTCATTTGAATGACCCTAATTCAGGCAGATTTATTTATATTGGTTAGAAATAAAGCAACGCTAGTTGAAGAAAAAAGAAAATGGCAGGCCTTGGTTTACTGAATAAATATTGGTTTTGTATTCACTCATACAAATAGTATTATCACTGCTTAAAATGAATAAGACCTATTTGAGGTATTCTCATATGTTTAGAATAATCTGGGTTATTTTAATTGTTATTATCTTTCATGCAGCTTGATTTTCACGCATTTCAGAAACAGAAGAAATGAGACAGAGAGAAGAGATTGATTTTTTAAGAAACTATTAGTATATATATATATATATAAGCGTCAGCCAAAAGTACTGACCTATAACAAAACAGAAAGTATATTGTAACCGTTTCAAGGCTAAACTCACTAACCAACGAGTACTGATACTATGATAAGCGTTACACATGTTATAGTAATAAATCTTTATTCATCTATCTATATACGTATATACTGAGTAATCTACCAAAGCACTGTAAAAATCAGTTTACAGATTATCAAAACCAGATAATCTAATCAACGTAGCATGAAAACAAGAAAGTAAGTAAGCTAATTTGTTTGTGAATAATATAAATGAAATGGATCTTCATTTGCGTTTAGACATAAGAAAAGAAACATAATTGGATAAAATGCTAAGAATAAAAATTTATTCCTGCCTATATTGTGTACAGTTGCTTACTTAAAACATTAATCACAGATAAATAAGTCTTGCTTTACCGATTATACTTACACTACTCACAAAGAATGATGAATAATCACTATCAAAACTGGATACGCAGCAAACAATTTAGATTACATCTCGAAAATGTTGAGAAAATGTCATTAAATTCAGCAGTTATAATGTGTATATCTTGATAAAAATCTTATCCAGCGGATCCGAATATATTGTAATCTCTATATTTGTCAGTATACCGACACAATGAACATTATTTGTCACAGGAAACTGTCCTAAACGACAATCAAAAGGTACCCAATTCATCGATTTTTAATACAGACTGCAGTGTACTAAAGAATTCGGAAGGTTAGCATGATTACTACAACTGTCATTCCATTTAAAGGTATCCACTACTTAAACAATATTAGTTTTATCCTGAAATAAAAGGAAAACCTTCTGACATAAAAACTATTTTAAAACATTCTGTTGAAAATAGACCTAAAAGTATACAAAGTATTGAAATCGATTTGCGTTTGATTTAAAAATCCATTCACTTAGTAAATTTCAGAGGGTAATATAAAGGAACATATCTGTTGTTAATCGAGATGCCGTTTTACTGGGATCAAGACTATGACTGTAATAGCATACTGAAACTGACAGTTGAACAGCATAAGAGTTTAAGTTACTAAGTGTTGCAAGACAGTAACTGTAGTGACCAGTAATTTTTGACAGTAAATTAAATAACATTGAGCTGAACTATATTTGTATAAATCTCCAAAAACCTATTACTTTGTTATTTTATTTTTCATAAATTTCTGTTTCTTCAAACCATAAGTCCCTACGTCAGACGCCCTTCATTTTTCCCTCAGTGAAAAATAACTTTCTCGTTGAATTCGGTGCTCTATTAAGGTGTTGGTTTTACGCCTTATTTTCAACGACATTGTGAGTGCATTCATAAACTAATGCCGGTGGTCGTAAACAATTTTCTTTAAAATATTTCAAAAAATCTTCCGACAGAGAAACCTGGTTCTAAGGACTGGATAAGGAGGTGTTACCTCCAGCTTATCAAACGTTGAAGTTAGTAGTATATTAATTTGTGAACGTGACATGAGTTTTAAAAGTATCATTCCCTGTTAAATCTTTATTTTCTACATACGGTTGCAAACCCTCAGCCAGGTTATTTTTTTACGCTTTAAGGTTTTTGTTTTTTGGCCTTTTTGCCAATTGGTGGAGAAAAATGATAAACTTTAAAAGCATATATCAGTCAAATATTCATATAAATCAGTAATAAACACACATTTATTAGGTTAGTTTCATTTGGGGTTTCAGATCTTAGATTAATATACATAAATACTAGGTTCTACGTTGCGTCTGACTTCGACTTTCAACACCGTAGAATACATAAAAATTAAGAGTTGAGCCATTTACTTTAATGTATTTCTAAGTTGCTTCAATACGAATATTGAACCGATCAATCACTATACAATTGTTAAGGACTAAGTTTTACAGAACCATTTTTACCAAGTGAACTGGATGACACCATACTACTGTTACTACAAATGTACGGAATCACTTAAGGTCCAGAAATCTATATTACGTTTGGTTATGATAATAAAATCGGATATATTTCGTAATGGTCATTAAACTAGGACAGGTTATTAAGTTATAGTCTCGGTTTACTGGAATGATTATATTCAACATTATCAAAATGAATTCCATTAAAATTACTTTAATTTTATATCTTTGCAGGGTATTCATTGGAAGGCCTCAGAAAATCTATTGTTATTCATTTTAGGCTAAAATGTAAACATGTACCCTGCCAACACAATACATAATATTTCACCATAGTAACATGAACTAGTAATCACGATGACGATAACAATAATAATAGAACTAGATAGACTAGCATACAGTATTTCCTCAAAATAGGCATTAATCCATAAGAAAAATAAGGTTATCGTTTTAGATTCTTATAAACTTTGACAGAAATTTAGGCTGATCATCCTATTTGTACAATTTACAGAAAAATTAACAATCATATTTGATGGCAAACGAAGTAAGAGAACCTTCTGGTGGGTTATATTAAACTTTTCCGTTCATTCTTGCAATATAATATTGATATCATTTATTCATTAATCTTTAGCAAAACGTCATGATCTTTTAATAGTAACTAACCAAGTAATTCATTTAAATTAATAAAAACAAAAAGCCTTGTAAATTAATCTTGTTTTTTTAAATCAGTTAATTGAACTCTGTTTAAGCAATAATGAAACAAAAATTTACACTGCAACGGACAGAAGTTTTTAAAATAGGTATAATCGACCACACGAAAGCTGAAGACATGATAGTGTTTAACATTGACCAAACAATCTTATTTACATTGTATGAATGTTTTCCTTAAACTGGTGAAAATACTTAATTTCAAACTAGTGGTAAGAATACCTAAAAAATCCACAAGGTTTTCATTCCGGATAATAGAAACTTTCCATCACTATATGGATAGTAATATCCTGTTAAAATGAGTACAGGGGATTTTTCGAGATTGTTCAGTTTGTATTATACGTCAGTGGTCAACTTTTGTTACACAACTACCAAAAACCATGAGGCTCTGGACATCCATTCCAAGCTGGCCCACAAGGATGAAACTTGGGACCTTCGGGCATCGCGCGAACCAGGTAATTCGCGGATCGTACGGGACGCCATGTAGTTTTGTTTAACTTTTTTAGCATTAGTTCGTTCGCTATATTACGCAACCGTTATCCATTGGAATTAGCGATACCTGACTAGTTCCCCAACATGGTTGAAACTTGGTGATTATGGCATCTCACTAGAGCTCCAAATTTAAAGAAATAACTTAATGGATGAATAAAACTTATTAAGAGGTGTAAATTGTACTCTGAAAATAATTTGTTGGAACGTATTATAAAATAGCACATTCTTTGTGACAATAAAACACAATATTATATCAGATATACCTTGCGAATCACGAAACCTACTGATAACAGACAGCATCTTTGTCAATAAGCACCCATCTATGTTCCCTGACATACTGTCAGTTACATAGAATTCAAGATATTGTTTTATTTATGTCTGACATGAATGGCTATATTGTAAAATGTAAAACGTTGAAAATGTTTTCGTTATACATGAATTTACCTCAACTGATAGCTTGATCAATCGTATAATAGTATTTGTCGAAAGTTCTCCAAACAGGATATATAATGGTCCCAAAGTCCCCATTCGGATACTACGATTATTATCGGTACAACAATTCCAAATAAGGTCCTAGATTCCATTAGAGTAGTCAACAGAAACGAAGTTAGTGAAAAGTCGAATATTTCTAGTTAGTACAGAAGTAGTCATATATTTCGTTTTTGTCTGAACACCATCCTGACGTCAAACTATTATATACGTACTAGGATTAAATCATATTTATCTATGAGCGTCTTTTCCAACTGTTTTCTTGTCTTTTCACATTTTGTATAGCATTAATTAAATAGGATATATAAACAGTAATCATTACTTTACACGAACTCAAGTTGTCCTATAGTTACAAAAGCCTAAATAGAGTTAAGTAATCAAGCTGAAATAGATAACAATTTTTTCGGTTAGACATTCACAAAATAGACAAAAGCTGTGTGAAACAAATGATCTAGTCAAATATTCCTTTTACCAATTACACATTTAACAAGTGGTAGTTTTTGTTATAATAAGTAATAGCTACCACTGTTCAGCTGTAACACTATTAACTGGCTTTAAATCTGAAGACTTTCTTTTTACTTTACGGCGTTAAATGTTATCCAAATAAATCTCGTTTCAAAAGAAAACTCTGATAGTCTTTAGATTTCTTTCAAAATCTGTTTCACGTACTGGGAGTCATAAACCCAATTCAGTTCACTTAGTTATGTAAGTAGAACTGAATTATCATCTGAGCTGAAACGGTTTCGTAGCTCATAGTAGCACCAAAATTGAACAAACTCTTCGAGGATTAACGCTGAAAACTAGTAAACGGACTACGCTGTAATACACAAAATAAATAGATTAATTGAATATAAACATTCTAGTTATAGCCTCATAACACTCACTATGTGAATAAAGTTGATATATTATAGTTGGTTCGTGTAACCTGACTGTATGCCACCCATAACTTTGTAATTACTGAACAGTGTTTTATAAGTAAATGTCAACATTATTAGTGATTAAAGTCGTGATAACAAATATTTCTTTATTACCACTAAACTTTTCGGCCTAACTGATGTTTATGATAACCAATCACAAATGAGGATTTCGTGTGGACGAATATTATCCTGGAATCACGTCATAGAGAATATGTGATCGAAAATAGCAATTTCTGAGAGCATTCAAATATGTTGTTGATAGAGATTGTTTATTATTTGAAACTATTAAATATAAAAACACTAGAGTACTAATGCAGCTACGTGAGAAAATCTACTAACCCATTTAACCACGTGTAGTACAACACATTGCCATCTGGAATGTGTGATAGATTCGTAGTTTGAACCTTAACAAAATAACAAGAAAAACATCTTAATGTGCACAGCAAAATCATTTCTACACATGATTGGTCTTAGAGTAAATTGATATCCCTTTGCTATTCCCTTCAGACATCTTGCTATTTCAAAAATAGTATTAATGGGCAAATTCACACAAATTTCTTACCTGTCAGTTGAAATTATGATGATCATGAGTAGATTACAGCTACTGAATTTTAATAGTTAACCGAACTAAACGAAATACTCAGCCCTCTGATTTCTTATTCTTTTAGAATATGTCAAGACTGTGGTCCACAATATTTTAAAACTAACTATTTGTAAATTGTCCTGAATAATAACTTAAACTAGACAAAGGACTGTTAATTTTATTAATGATAAATAATCTTGACTATCCACTTAGCATTATCACCATCCACTAAACATTGGAGATAGATAAAAATTGGTCATTAGTTTTTCTAAGTAAAGTAAATATACCCAAGGTTAGTTAGTGTGACAAAGATTAATTAGAATGAAAAACGAATCAGAAGTCAGGGAATTTAGTGGAGAACAACGCTGAAAATGTTCACAAAATACGATGACCACATGAATTTATTTTCAATCAATACGTATAGTGTCCTACTTTTTTATTAAGTTTGTCATTTGATACCTACTTTTACCGTCATAAACATGCTTTCTGGAGTTGAATCTTCTGGTAGAAATGGCTGTGTTGTAGAAATTTTCTGAGTGAATCTAGGACTTGTAGTTGCCTTCACACCTCCCCCATCCGTTTGTAATCCAAACGTCAACCAATCGATAGCATGTAACGCTATTTGCTTTCGAGTATGGTGCATTCCACGAGCTGTTATACAATGGGTATTAAATTAATAATAATGATTAAGGATAATGATAATTCTAGTGTTGAAAGTCATTTTTTTAAAAATTGTTTCGCTTCTGCTGATTTGAGTGTCAAGAGAAATAACAGTTATAAAAACATCAATCAATATTAAAACATTAGGTTAAAAGTAAGTAAATATGATATAGATGCATTTCCAAAAAGCATAAACTTATTTTAGCACG